AAGGCAAGGGGCAGGAAAGCCTGCCTGCCTGCCAGCCTTTCTGCCTGGGCTCCAGCCCTGTGGCAGCCACACACTGCACGGCCCCGCAGTCTGAGCCGTGGGCAGCACCTTCGGCAGAAGTGGAGACAGTTGCTCTTTGTGACTGGGAAATGACAGATTATTCCAGTGAACTCCTGCACTCTAGCCTGATGTGAACTACTACAAAAGCAAGCCGATGGGAATCTTTCAGTAGGTGGCAGCAGAAATGTATTATCAACCCAGAGGATTCCTTTACGGACACCCCTTCTTGGCACAATTCCCCACTTAGAATAGTTTCAGGGGCACATTGCTCCAGGTTGGATACTGCGCCCTAACCAAGCTTAGGAGAGCAGAGGCAGGTCAAGCACAGAGAACCTGGGGAGGAGAAACTCAGCCAGATCCTGAGAATCCCCAGGCTCTGTTTCGGCGGAAGTCCCTCACCAAACTGCCTCTTGCAAAACGTGGTAAGTTCCCTAACCCAGTGCCTCGGTTTCTGTGGTCCGGCAGAGCCGGTACGGCTCATCGGGATACCTCCTGGCAAAACCATACCACACCTTTCAGCTATTGCAGGCCTGGCCAAACAAGGCCACTTCGAAAGAAAAATTACTTCCATAAATTTCAAATACTCAACAAATCAGCACCAGGAAGGTGATGCCAACTCCCAACTCAGCACATCCCCCCCAAACCCAGACACCCCTGGGCTGGGGAAGCAGCCCTTGCTGCTCCCAACACACCACCCACAGAGCAGGAGTGACCAGGGCAGGGGGCCAGCAGGAAGCGTGACGGCCTTCCCTGCATACCTGGAGAGCAAGGTGTGGCTTTGTACAGCTGACTCAGGGCTGGGTCAAGGCTCCTGCAGGCAGGAGCATGCTTTCCAAATAATCGTTTCCTGTTCTCCCCAGGTGAGATGGAGGAGGAGATGGAAGCAGGATGGAGGTTTATAGGCCGCAGATAATCCCCCTCCCCAGAGCTGCCTGGCACAAAGGCCAGCCAGGAGCCACTGTAGGGGCCTGGTGACTAAGGCAAGGACAGCAGCACTGGTTTTGTGACTAAGTATTACTCATGCCAGGAGGAATTTGGAGAGGGACCCGCATCCAGCCCGGCTCGTTGCTTTGGATACTTCTGCAGCCATAAGCACAAAGGAGAGCTTTGACAATGAATCAGACCCTGCTGAAAAATGACAAAGACAGACTTATAGACCAACTTGGTGTTAAAATGATTTCAGTGTAATCACAAAAGCAGCTTAATGCTAATCAGAGGAAACAAGCAACGTTTTCAGACCCAGATGACTAAATGTAGGCTCCTGGATGGACAAAACCATTTAGACACAGCAGCAGAAGTGGTTTTTATTAATGCATACTGTATGTCACTTTCTTTTTCCTCTAAATTACAAAGGAATGTGAACACAGTGGCAACAGTCACTTGAAAAGCTTTCTCCATTAGGTTGTTTGGGTGTTTGTAAAATCAAGAGCAACCCCACTAAAAAAAACCTAAACTGAGTTCTGGGATACCTTTATTTTGAAAGCATGTCTATAACTAGCCTCTGAAGGATTTAAAGGGAAGAAAACAACACCCATGTTAATTATGCTCCTGCTTTTAAAATCTACAATTTTTCACCTAAAAATAAAGGTAGGAACAGCAAAAGCAAAGAGTCATCAAATTCCAGTTCTCCCTTCATGAAGCCTTTGCCCTCTCAGCTGATTTGTGTGCTTACTTTGCAGTCTGCAGTGCAGGGAAGACTAACAAAGAATTACTAATTAAGCAACAGTTTGCAAAAATCTGAGAGTTTGAAAACTCGTTGCTGTGAACGATTGCTCCAAATGGCAGGTCCAGCCTTGCCAATGCACACGTGATGATATCAATCCATGCCATTCCACTCAGATCAGCATCACCCCACAAGCATTCTTCACAAACACACGGTGAGATGTTAAAGTTTTAATAAGCCATCCCAGGTCTAAGGCAATGGATGACCCTTCGGAGAGCTGGGAATCCCCTCTCAAGTGTGAGTGCTTGTCTTTCCTTTGCCTCTAAGATTACAATGTCATGTTTTGCAACCAGTGACTTACGCACTATTTAACACATGACAAGCTTCTTACACAATTTGCAAAGCAGAACATAGTGTTATTTGATCTTTATCTAACAAACTTAACCGAGGAATAAGAGTCAGGATTCAAGCAAATCCACCTCCTTCCCTGCGATTACTGAGGAGCACTTGTTGCCCTGAAAAGCTGCAAGGTGCACACAACCAACTTCCATTTGTCTGGGGTGGTAGATGACACATTTGGATAACAGAGAAACAGCATGAAACACCCATGAAGTTCAGCTGCAAGAACAGAATCCTTTTGCCACCCTCACTTTTGACAAATGACAGTAAGACAGACCACAAGGCTTTAAACATAAAGAAGTGGAAGTCAGTGGTTCCTCACAGCTGTGAAGGCCTGTTCTTCATGTTACCATCAGCAGAATCAGCTTAGGGGACACAAAGAATTAGAGCAGCATTAGCTATGCCCCAGTTCCTCCAGAATTTACCTTAAATTTGTGTGGCCCCAGCCCAGTGTCAGAGGGCTTCTCCACAAAGCATGACTGTGCTGATAGCATTAGCTCTGTGTCCATTACACTCTCAACTTCGTCACCCTTTTATCATTTTAAAACCTATTTTTTCTCATAGCTGAGAGTATTTTTCACTTAAAAAAATCAGGAATGAGAGCATAGGTTCTCCTCCCTGTAAACCAGTCAGACCCATAGGAAAAAAAAAATGAGCTTTGGCTACTCCCTTCATCAAAACAAGGCTGGTGTGGAGGGCAAACTGCTGGGGACAGCTCTGCCCATGCAGGCTGTGCCCTGCTGTCCAATGGGGGTGCCTGTGGATGCTCCACAGCTGACAGCAGGCTCAGGCAGGCATCTGGACCACCCATGTCCTCGAAAAGCCAGCTAAGCCTCCAGCTTTGCAGTCTGAAATGCAGGAGCAAGCCCTCAATAAGGGCACAGACTCAGGCCTGGATCACACCAGCCAACAGAGTCAAGATGAAACACATTTGCCAGGAACGTCACCAAATCCAAGCATCTGTGTCCAGAAGGACCTGCCCAGACACCCACAGCTGCCTCAGACACCCAGAGCCACACAAGATGCAGGCTGTTGCCTGGCCTGGTCTCCACTGAGGGTCTGTAGCTCACTTTCACACCATTTGTAAAGCTCTCACAGCTTCCTCCTAAAAGATCCATGCAAGCCCAAATGTTAATCCTACATGGTAAAGTCACTTCCATACTCCACCTGTCCACACATTAGGTGTCCTGCTTCCCTCTACAGCAAGCAGAGGGACTAACCTTGTCTGTGCACACATTGGGAAACAAGGAACAACTTCTGTGACAATGTGTGCTTAGAATCCTGTCCCTGGTACGTGCGTGTATGCCCGCAATGGAATGAGAGAACAGCACCCCCATCCAAAGTAACATCTGCTCCAGGCTAATGCACAGAGGGTTATTCTTGAGGCATCCCCTCCCCAAAGCAAACAGGAGCATTCCTTATTTCTCCCTGTTTAGTCAAAAAGCCCACCACACATTCCTGGGCACTGGCCTGCCCCGAGCCAACCATGGGATGAGAGCTTCTACGCTGCAAATCCCTGGAAGAAACTGGTCTAACTCAGGGACAGCCTAACAACTGCTGCCTTCTGATGGGCCCTTCGTGGTCTGCAAAGAGCACCACAAATCTCAAGAGCCTTGTTTTCAGGTTGTTAAAGCCACCCACAGAACTGGCCTCCATGCTGAGGGTTTCAGTAAAGAAGGAAGGAGAGCTGCCCCTGGAGCACGTCGGAGGCCACGCTCAGCAGGTCCACCCCAGCCATACCTGCCCCAGGCTCCAGCGCTTCTCCCCAGCCACACCTCACCTGCCAAAATCTTTGTTCCCACAGGGTAAGAAAACACCATTGTGGCAACCATCAGAGCCGCCCTGGTCGACTCATCGAGGTGGGGGCACCACCACTCTGCCCCAGGGCCACAGCAAAGCTCCCAGAAAAAGAAGATTGGAGAAATGGAAGCCGCAGCATGAGCAAGTTTGCATCCAGGCAGCACCAGAGAAGAAGTCTGTGGTCACCGTAAGGCACTGCAATGCAGTCACTGCAACTTCACCAGGCAGGAGCTCTGCAAACACCCCCTAAGGCTTTAAACATGGAGCACAGCAGTGTTTGAGAGCACAGTGTTCCTTCCTCCGCCAGGAATGAGAGCAAAGACATTCTCTGTGTGGGATAGGGAAATTGGACATGGAGTTTTTAGGGATCACATGAAGGATTTCTGAATTAGAAATCAAGTGCTTAGGTACAGCTTTCTCGATCACATTTTCTACTCCAGGCAGCCAAGGAAGAAACCAACCCACCCTTTATCTCTGCAGCAGTAAACTTTCAGTCTCCCACAGACATGTGAAAGAATTGCCTGGGAAACAAGCACACAGCTATGTTGTGGTCAGAGTTTAAAACCAAAATCCAATTCAACCAGAAAGCTGCAGGTTGCTTTTGCCCTGTTCCCAAAGGAGCTAAATTCAGTGGCACAGAGCAGACAGAGCTGCCCAGCAGAGCCTCCCCCTTATTTGTTATTTTTAGCAATTTAGTCTGACAACGCCTGACAACTAAACATGCTGAATATAGCAGGAGAGAAGGGGACTATCAGATATTATCAGAGAAAACACACAGTGATAATCACTTTCTCCACCCCTAATGAAGAATCAATTTTCCATGTCTTTATAACATCATAGAGTTTGTTCTTTTCAAAATGCCACATTTAAAAACAGAATCCATCTAGCCCTACAATGGAAACGGATAACATTTCCTGAAACAAAGCATTGTTCCACCCCTCACATATCATGTTTCCTTAAAAACAAGGGAAGAAAAACATTACTTGGTTTTTCTCCTAATACTGCACAAACATTGCTGAGCTAAAAAGAGTCTGTGCTCATCCCTTTAGAATGCTTTCAAAATAGATTTAACACATACCCCTTGTACCGTGAAACACAACAAGAATTTGATAGTATCAGGACTGGAAAAATCCGATGGCTCCTGCTAAGTAGGACATGTCCCATTCCAGTGTGTGAGGGAGCCTGTGGCACAGATCTCTGCAGGTTTGGGTAAGCCCTGTTGGCACAGCCTGTCAGCAGGCACAGGGACTGTGCCAGCAAGCCTGGGCAGTCTGTTTGGATTCCAAAGGATTATATACACGTTGTGAAGTTAATAATGCTACACAGGTACATGTGAAGCTGACAGGCTGAGAAAGTTGGAGCTGTTCAGCCTGGAGAAGAGAAGGTTGTGTAGAGACCTCATAGCAACCTTCCAGTATCTGAGGGGGCCTACAGGGAAGGTGGAGAGGGTCTCTTCATCATCTCTGCAGTGATAGGACAAGGAGTAATGGGTTTGAACTGAGAGGAAATTTAGGTTAGATATGTGGAAGAAATTCTTCCCTGTGAGGCTGCTGAGGCACTGGCACACATTGCCCAGAGAAGCTATGGCTGCCCCATCCCTGGAAGTGTTCCAGGTCAGGTTGGACAGGGCTTGGAACAACCTGGGCTAGTGGGAGATGTCCCTGCCCATGGCAGGGGGTGGAACCAGATGAGCTTTGAGGTCCCTTCCAACCCAAACCATTCTATGATAACATACATATACACACATATATATTGATGTCCATACACTGGCTTTAACAAGAAGTTACCTTGGGTTTTCTGCAGAATAACTGACAGCTCTGCCCTGTCCCCTCACCCACACTCAGACCCTTTGGTGATTTCAGAACACAGTTCCTCTCACCAAGTACAACCAATGCGTATTCCAGCCAAGCCTTATTTTCCCAGCCTTGTACAAGGACAGGTCTGGCTGTCCTTGCTGCTTTGCCATGTGGAGAGCAGCAAGGAGGCCCAAACCAGCAGTACCCCACCAATTTTGTGATGCTGCCTTGAAAAAGGCAATGCACCACTTCAACAGTGGAGGAACCCTTGAGAGCGGAGCAAGGGAAAGGGAGTAACTGCAATCATGCACTGCAGTGGAGACTGTCAGAGGGAGAAAAGGAGCTTTCAAACCAGGTGCAAAACTCCTCATGGTTTTCAGAGTTCACTGACAGCTATGAATGCCACGAAACCCAGTTCATACCTCTGAAGCAAGTTAAAGCTAGATTTCCATGGAACAGGCAGCACCGAGGAGCTCTCTGTGCTATATAGCTGGATGGATTTCCAGAAGAGCCCAGCAGTGAGCCCAAACCTCTGTGCTGTGCTCCTCTGCAAACAGCACCAAGATAGCAGGGAGAGCATTTCTCAGATTCAGGCATATATCAAAAAACACACATTTCACAACCCCTTGGCAATAACATCATCACAGTGAAGCACAATTGCCTCAAGCTCATGCTGCATGAGTAACAGATCAGCCACACTGGACAGGCACCAGGGGATTACTCTGACCACCCTGATTCAGCTAGGCAAAGTGAGAAATGTGAGTAAGTAACAAGGTAGTTCACCATGTAAAATAAAAACCCAAGCTTTAAAGTCCTTCCAGTTTTAATAACGAATGGAGAGAAATTTTAACCTATCTTGGTTTGATATTTATTTTACAATGATGTGGTGAAAGCACAAGGTCACAAAGTTTCACATTCTTTCCTGCTTCGGTCACTACTTGTTTTCAGGACAGCAAAATCCCCTGCTCCTGTGATAAGTGCTCTATGACTTGGACTCAGGTATTTCCCCTAAAATCTCAGTTTTCAGCAGTTGTCAGTCTAAATGCCTGTCCCTTCCATGGGAAATCCCAGGCCGAAGAAAAATCCTTTACACAAACCTGCCAGCCAGCTGGAAGCAGATTAATTAAAAGATGGACTTGAATGTTCACTTAAAACTGCTGAATGTTTTGGCAACCTGAGCCCTACTATTCATAACTAAAAAGAAAAAACAACCCATGTGACAACCACCTTTCACTCCAACCACCTTTTGAGACAGTCACTACTGCTGGGAACTTCAATTCACTGGCCACAGCCGGAGACTCAGCAACAGGGAGAGACACAACAGAAAAGCACATCTGTGAAGCAGCCAGGTCTGAGGCTTTGTGTAAGAATGGCAAAGGTTGTAATCTGGGGGGAATTCCATCCATTCTGCTGAACTCAGCACTGGAAAGTTCAGGAGGTAAGATCATTCCCCACCATGAATAGGAAGAAACCCAGATGCACAGCTGAAGGGCACAGCAGCCAAGAAACTGACCACAGCCCGCTGGCAGCGAGGGACCCGAAGGGCAGTTTGTAAACAGAGGTTGGCAGCCACACTCCACCTGCTTCCAAACCCAGAGGTGCTGTCAGCCACACTCCACCTGCCTCCAAACCCAGAGGTGCTGTCACCCACACTCCACCTGCCTCCAAACCCAGAGGTGCTGTCACCCACACTCCACCTGCCTCCAAACCCAGAGGTGCTGTCACCCACACTCCACCTGCCTCCAAACCCAGAGGTGCTGTCACCCACACTCCACCTGCCTCCAAACCCAGAGGTGCTGTCACCCACACTCCACCTGCCTCCAAACCCAGAGGTGCTGTCACCCACACTCCACCTGCCTCCAAACCCAGAGGTGCTGTCACCCACACTCCACCTGCCTCCAAACCCAGAGGTGCTGTCACCCACACTCCACCTGCCTCCAAACCCAGAGGTGCTGTCACCCACACTCCACCTGCCTCCAAACCCAGAGGTGCTGTCACCCACACTCCACCTGCCTCCAAACCCAGAGGTGCTGTCACCCACACTCCACCTGCCTCCAAACCCAGAGGTGCTGTCACCCACACTCCACCTGCCTCCAAACCCAGAGGTGCTGTCACCCACACTCCACCTGCCTCCAAACCCAGAGGTGCTGTCACCCACACTCCACCTGCCTCCAAACCCAGAGGTGCTGTCACCCACACTCCACCTGCCTCCAAACCCAGAGGTGCTGTCACCCACACTCCACCTGCCTCCAAACCCAGAGGTGCTGTCACCCACACTCCACCTGCCTCCAAACCCAGAGGTGCTGTCACCCACACTCCACCTGCCTCCAAACCCAGAGGTGCTGTCAGCCACACTCCACCTGCCTCCAAACCCAGAGGTGCTGTCACCCACACTCCACCTGCCTCCAAACCCAGAGGTGCTGTCACCCACACTCCACCTGCCTCCAAACCCAGAGGTGCTGCCATGAAGTCCTCCTACCCCAGTCACAGGGCTGTGTTTGTGCAAAGCCACTGGCATTTGGGATAGCTCCAGAGGAGCCAGGATACAACTACTTTTACCATATAGCCATAAAATTGACTGTGCCTTGTCCGCATTAGCAACACCTGAAATATACAGCCTGTCCATGGAGCACTTGCTTGCCCTATGCAGAAAGAGTTCCCATGGGCAGAAACACAAACTCTCTTAGTGTCTGGTACACTAAGAAAACACTACACATGGGGATGAACTTGCTCTACAGCTGTACAGGCAAGCTGAGTTTTAAGAGGGAATTAAAAAAAGTACAGATTCAACTTCTGCTTTAGTGTAAGTAGGAGACGATGGAGGCAGAATCACACAGGTCTGTGTGGGTTTGAGTGCTGACTTCCTACTCCTGCTTGTCCCTGCTTATTTCATCCCACACTCACTTTCTCCAAAACACTAACACACGGGACATGAAGCTTGACATAAGTGAATCTTTGCTTTCTCTGTCATTTCCTAAAGACCAAGGAAGACAGGTTTGTATTAATGATATTTTAAGGACATTAAGACAAAAAAACCCCACACTAACAGCCTTGGAGAAGTACATTTTGCACATCTTCTCCAAAGAATTGTAAGCTGTACACGCAGCCACAAGCAGATAGTCAGGATTCACTAGATAGCTTGTTTGGACACTGGAACTTGCGCAGACACTACTTTCTATTTCCTAGATACCCTTCTCTGCCTTGAATACTCCAACCAGATAAACACAAGAACACAGAAGTGCTCTGACCTCATCATCAAAACAAAGTCCCATCTCCCACAGATCTACTCTTCAGCAGCAGCTCTGAGTGTAAGGACAGGACAGGCCTATACAGTACTTCCTCCTCATACTTTCCCACCCTCCAGACATTTTTAGCTCAGGGACTTCCTGAGCAGGATGCCATTTCTACATATTTGGTAATTCTCAATGGATTTCTCTCCCATGAATTTGTGCAATTGTCCTGAGTCAGTGTAACCTTTTAATACCCACAGCACTAGTGAGGTTTTACATCACCTATCTGCAGAAATGACCATACAAACATCCTTTTGCTTGTTTTAAACCTTGCTCCTACTAATCTCATTTGAATCCCTCACCCCCAGTTTGCATATTGGGACACAGTGAGAGCAATCAATACCTACTGGTTTGTAGGCCCTGGAAAGGAACCAAGTGCTCTGAGTTATTGTAAGTTACCTGTAACACGCTTTCTGTTTCACCTAGTTACAACCCTTCAGCACAAAAAGAAACAGATAAAAACAAGGGATGTAGCAAACAGCATCTTGTCGACCTTTAATGTTCTATTTCTGTCATCATTACCTGCCAAAAACTTACCTCTAATTCCTTAATTTTCTCTTCAGCTATTCTCTGTTTTTCTAAGAGCTGATTATGAATCACTCCTTTAGGCTGGAGAATAAACCTACAAGGGAAAAAGAAGAGACAGAAAATGTTGGATGGTGTTTACATCTGTGTACACCAGTTGCACAGCAAGTTAAACTACAGCCACCTTTGCTAAGTGTTCATCCTCACCCTCATGTTGCGGACAGCGGTAGGAGAAATTGCTCTGGCAGCTCAGGCAGCCTCCCAGGCTGGCCCCAAAGGCTCACTCCCCAGCCTCACCCATGCTCTGGAAGGTAGAACACAGATGCACACAGACCTCCCTCTATTATTCTGTGTCCCTGAATGATCTGGAAGCAGTTCTGGCACACAGCTAGCAAGGGGAGTCTGTCATCACCTTCCCTTCAAAGGGATTTAAACCAGTTGATGACATGTAGTCAAGGAAGAGTCTTTCAACAGGTAAAAGCCATTTATTACCAGTTTAGTGCTTGCAAGGTGAACAAATCCATACAATAAAAACCAAACTTTCCACAGGGAAAGGCTGAGGGAGTTTGGGCTATACAGCCTGAAGAAGAAAAGGCTCTGGAGAGATCTTACTGCGGCCTTTCAACACATAAAAGGAGTTTATATGAAAGACAGAGACCTTTTACCAGGGCCTGTCATGACTGCAACAGGCCACTGTTAGGTGGGACATAGGGAAGACATGTTTTACTGTGAGTGTGGTGAGGCACTGGCACATGTTGCCCTGAGGAGCTGCTGCTGCCCCACTCTTGGAAGTGCTCAGCACCAGGTTGGATGGGGCTTAGAGCAATCTGGTCTAGTGCAAGGTGTCTCAGCCCATGGCAGGGAGTTGGACTGGATGGTCTATGAAGGTCCTTTCCAACCCACATCCTTCTGTGATTTGACAATACAGAGACAGGTGCTTTCAGCAGATGCCATGGAGCTTTTACAACTCCCACTTCTCAGGCCTTGGCTTTCACCCAAGCCCTCACTGATCTCCACATTTCCACACCATCACAAAGGTTCTTCTGTGGGGTGGGAAGTGGTCATTTTTAACTGAAATTGCAGTCACTGGTTTCCACTTGTTCTGTTTCTTGATTGGCAAAGGGATTTGAAAGATGCAACCATAATATCTGAGTCTCAGCAATGCTGCTCACCAGCCAGCAGAAAGCTGCTGCCTCGCTCAGAGGAGCCTCTGAAGGAGCACCAGCACTCAAAGCAGCTCTCTGGCACATGGCACTGGCATCCCACAAAGAGGTAAAGGACAACTAAGTTCAAACAAATTTTAGGAACCCTCCATGGTTGTTTTTCACCCTTCCAGACATACAGAATGTGCAAGATGCAGATTCACCCCTTCCTTACTTAGAAAGTCCCCCAGGGGATTTAGAAGGAGCCTCCACGGGTCATACCAAAGAGGTCAAGGTCTCCTCCAGCACCAACTAGGGTCAATGTCTTCCTGCCAGGTGGCAAGAGCTAATGCTTCAACAGTTAAAAGGAGCAGCTTTAGACAGGGCAGAATCAGAGCACATTCCCCGTCTGCTACAAAAAAATCTGAAATCAGTTTGCAGAGTCATCTCCCACGACAAATGACATTATTAACATGTTTGCTCAGGGCCTGGTAAACACAAATACGGATCTGCCACTTGGCTGCAAACCAGCGTACTCTGCATCAGCACTGCCACAGCCAAAAGGAAAACTACCTGCCACATGCATTCCTGAAACGCATGGGAGTAAAACTGTGACTAATTATAACAGGTTTCCAATTAAAACTCTCTTTGGGGCTGCTATTAACTGCACATAGCAATCGCCTCCTCCTCCTCCCACTTCTCTCCCTGTTCCGCTTCACCTCCTCTCTTCCACAGGAACTTCCGTTTTTATCTTTGATGTTGCAATTTTCTCAAATCTCTCCTCATTCCTTCCCAGCCTTGGCTCATACTTATTGCTGGCATGATCTTTGTTCTCTGTCAGCTCCTGATCTTACCAACACAGCTCACTCATATTCTCTTTGTCCCCTCAATCCCACTCTTCCCACAAGGTGTCCTGTCACAGTAGTGATGTTTTTGGGTCCTGGCACACAACGGGCTGCTGAAATGAAATGCAGGGTTTCCTCAGTCTTGTGAAAACCAAGACCTTGACCACCCTTCTAGGAAAGAGAAACTATTTACATGGCCATTAGAAGGAGAGCCTGGATTCAGCAAGAGATGAGCTACTTTTCAGGACTACTAGCAACCACATGATTCTGATGCTCTTACCTTGAGCCTACAACACCAGAAGAAAAAACATTAGCCTTCACACACACACACACCTGTAGATTTTGGGGTGAGGACTAAAATTTTGCCATGTTTCTCCAGTAGCTGCCATTAGTGAAAAAATCAAAGCTGCAAGGTGCCCTCTGTAGACAAAGCCATTGGTCCCTTCCCACGTCACTGCTTCCCTGAGCCTGCCTGTGTATGTGAACGCTTCCTGAATTGTTTCCTTTTCTGTGGGGGCAGCAAAGAAGAATAGAATCCCTTCTCATGTGTTGCCCCAAATTGTATAGCAGGATTGATGATTTTGGTTTCCCTGACGTCCCTGGTCTAAAAAACAAAGTTCAACACCAACACAGCTTGAGCAATGTTCTCTGTGCTGCAGCTGGGCGACAGGCGTGGGGCGATCCCGGCTGGCCGGGAACCGCTACGGGCACCAAAACCTCCAACAAACAACTGGCTGACTTCACTTCTATTCTGCAAATGTCAACAGCAGTCATCAGGGAAAATATCCTCCCTCCCACCCTCCTGCAGTGCTCTGGCAGACATGCTGCAGCAAATTAAAACTGGATGGCTGAAGTTAGCACTGACGAAACTCGTGCAGGCAGCTGGGCACAAGCACAGCCACCCGGATTTTGTCTGCTATCAAATCATGGGCTGGAACCTGTGTCCATTCACACGCTTCCTCAGGAGCAGATCAGATGTCCCTGACTTGGCCAGCAGCATCCTGCAGAAGGTCTTCACCAGTACTGTCTTCAAGCTAGTTTGAATTCCCTGCCACAAGACCATGGAGCGCTCAGCCTAAAGTGCACAGGTGCTGCCCTGGAAGCTGCCAAAGGGCAGTTCTTTGAAAGCTGAAGCTATAAATCCATGCCCACAGTTAACTATTTAAATCTGTGGCTTCACTTTCCAACATAAGAAGGACTCAGAAAAACTCATCAGTGTTTTACCTTCTAGTTTGGGATACACAAATTATGGAGTTCTTGGCCAAAGCTTTTACCTAAGGAAATAATGTGGTTTATGGCAGCACTTGGAAAAAGCAGAAGCTTGTTCTGCTCATTAGGTAAGAAGTGCTGCAGGGCACTTGCAATAAACCAGAGTTTAAATTTAATCTGAATTTCATTTTTCCAATTACCCTAAGTAATACACCAACTTCATGCTGCTTTTTTCTCACCAAGATGGAGAAATAGGGCAGTATCATTCTGCTGCCTGGCTTCAGTTAGATGCAGTTATTTTATTTACGGATTTTCAAGCTCGTGAAAGAACCATGGAAAGTTCTGAGGACTTAGTTCTTCCCTGAGCTTGTGAACAGGCCTTTCAAATACATGAAATTAATTCAGTGCCTGGAGCTCACCACCAGCTGAGAGCTGGCCCCATGTGAGAGCTACCACAGCACCAGGCCAAGGAGCCCCTTCCTTGGTGGTGCTGAGCCTGGAGGTGACAGGGCTAACACCGACACCTTGGTGCAGAGCAGCACCCAAGAGCTGCTCCACAGCTCTGTTGGAATCCACCATGGGAGGCTCCAAGCTCCCAGAGTCTGTATGTTGCACTGGGATGGAGTTTATTGATAGTAGAGACAAGCAGCAAACCAAATCTTCCAGATAAGTGAGTTCCCTTGTATCCGCCTTCTCTCGGTGAAGCGTCACCGCACACACTAATGGATCTGTCAAACATGACACCTACACTATCAAACCTGAATCAGTGATTCAGAAACATGTTCAGCACCACCATGGCAATTACGGAGCTTAGTAACAATCACCTCTTCACACAGGAACTTTTTCACTGCTGTTAAATAACATCAGAAATATATAAGTCAGAATGGACAAGTTCATCCCAGCTCAGCTGGCCACCCATTTCAAAGGGAATGGCTAGTAAAACCAGAGAAGAATGTCTCCTGTTCTGGACAGCTAACAATTTTTCCAATGTCCATAGATAATGGTGAAAACTGAGAACAAAACAACTAAAAATAGAAAAGAAAGCTACAGAGGAGGGAATCCCCGAGGACAGCAGTGTTCAGCCAAACCTGGGCTGCCAACAGGAACAGCTCCATGGAGCAGAGCAAAGTGGTTGCCAATCCGCTGTACCTACATGCTCTGGTCTCCCAGTGACTGCTGGTTCTCAAGTGCAATATAAGAAACAAAAATAGAGCACAAGGGAACTGAAAGAGAAACCTCACTCTAAATATTCCCACTTGCTTCTATTTTTCTCCCTCTGCTAGCTCCACATCAGGAATTTTGTTTCCCTAAGACAGAGAAAGTGGTTTATACACACTTTCTGAGGCTCTTTGCTTGTTTCCTTCTGAAGGGATCTCTTACCCCTTCACAATTAGAATTTTCTATTATCATTCTCATTTGATGAGTGTTTGTACCACACTCCCTGATGCCCTGACCCAAGTGGCTTCAGGCTCTCATCAGGTCAGCAGTGCTGCCCACTTCATCATCTGTCTGCTCCTCTGTGTCACACGTACACACCCACAAAGTGATGTTCCTCCAGTGTAAGTAATTCCATAACTCAGCCTGTTTGCACCAAAATGTACTGTTTACTTGACTTTGAGACATAATATTAGATACTGAAAGATTCCCCTCTTAATGAATGAGGTTATGGAGATGTTTGTTCAGCACACGCCACTCTTCATTATGACATACAAGTCATCTAAATTATTAAAGGTGGAGTACCAGTGATGCTCATAGTTCAGGTTTTCCATGAAGAATCCCTACTTCCAATTACTTGCAACTAGAACAAACTTCAGGCTTTAGGCCTGAAGCTGTTGGTGGCAGGCAGCTGTCCTGGGCATGAGCACCCTCTCCCCTCCCGTGCTGGCTAGGGAACACAGCTC